TTTCTACATTTTTGTTAGGAACATTAGTTCTTGATGAGAGTTAATATATGTTTCTTGACCCATTTTATATATGTTTCTCTAATATATTGCATGGTATTTATATGAGGTTTTATATTTATTTAGAAGTTTTTTAGTTTTTTTAGGTATGATGAACGGTGGCGGACTTCCCCTGCCACGGGAATCAGGTTTCCACCCTGGCGCTCTGCCATTCGCGCCACCGTCAAATAGGGTCGCTCCGCAGCTCCAGATCCATCTATTCATGAAATATTTTCACCATCTAAGTTTTGCATGTTAATATATTATATATATATATACATTCATTCATAATATGATTGTTGCATATGTCACATGCTGTATTCCCTATCGAGTGGCTAGAATCGGCACTATACTTGCTCGGGATGTGGGACATCCTCGTGCAAACGACAACTGAGGTCTGACGATGAAGTTGGTGAGTTATGGACCTGTAATATTGCCTTTGACATCTTTATTAGGTATCGACAAGAGCAGCACACAGACATCATGCAGAGGAGACGACAATCGCTGAACCGGAGAGGCACCGAATTCAATACCGTGCTGCACTGTTTACAGACACTTGAGCAAATTGGCTATCAAGTGCCTGACCACTCGTACTTCAAGATATAAGCTTTACGTGAGCATAATCTGGACGTGGCACAAGTAAGCGAAAGGATGGCGAGATTCAACCAAATGGATATGGTCAATCATGTATAATATATCGGAGTCAAGTTTATTTATTCTTATTATTATATGAGCTCTTCTTGATATTTTTTTGTTCTCTGCTTGTAGATTTTGCTCCATGATTTTACCTATGCTGCATTTAGCTTGCAGGCCATTCTAGAGCAAGTTATTCAGTGACTAGGGTATGCCTAGGACTACGATGGACACCTAGGCCCGTATACCACACATGGACACCAGTTTTGCCTGAAAATTACTCAGAACTTGGCGATCAATAGTCTGGCAGTAGGTTATATCTATGGACGACCATGTCCTCGGCGTTGTTAGGCAAGAGAGAGTGCTTTAATGTGGGCGTTCAATTACATATACAATGACCGCGGTTACAATCCGAGGCATACACTACTAGCAGTGGAAACAGGATAGAGTTGCGGCCGGTTTGCAAGGTTTATGTGTTAATTAGAATTATTCGTATGGTTATGTTTAATTAGAATTATTCATATGGTTATGTTTAATTAGGTTTATTTGTATGGTTATCTTTAATTAGGTTTGTATGACTTATGTTTATTTCTTATGCATTTCGGTGCTGCATGTGTCTCAAACTTTTTCTCACGCTTTTACGTGCCACAAGTTAAGGAAACACTAAGTTTCCAAAATTCATATCACTAAATTCATATCAAAATTTATGTATAGAATATATCAAAAATCATATATACAATATATCAAAATTCATATCACTAAGTTCAATATCACTGAATTCATATCAAAATTCATATATACAACATATCAAAAATCATATACTCTATACAATATATCAAAATTCATATCACTAAATTCAAACTGTTGATCATGCTTCTACATGCCACAAGTTAAGGAAACGCTAAGGTTCGGATTTTTTCAGACTTGGTTTGCTATCTACTACAATTTAAATGAATTTTTTGCATGACGGTACAAACTAATTGGAGGTCGAACTGAGGCTACCCCTAAAAGTTAGCACTATTGAGGAAGTTAGCTTAGAGCTAGTATCTAGCTTATACCATTTCGTTTACCCTAAAACTAGAAAACCGGGTGAGGAGTGAGTACGGTGGTGCTACCGCGTGAAAACCATGGCGGAGGGGGTCCAGATGTATAGCGAACGCGAATTACATGCGCAAATTTGTGAGTTGAAAAAGAGATTTACCAAGTGTTTATTTTATTTAGCGAGTTTGTACAGAAATGTTGGAGACTTGTTTTTTTTTTTTTTAAAAAAGAATAGATTGGGGACTTGTTTCAAAAAAAAAACTCTTGAAGGTGCTCTTATCTCTGTTAGCTGATGAATCACATCTTGATTGCGCTCTAGACAGTGTGTTTGTACAATAAAAACATACGCTCGGTGCCTATCTAGACACTGAGTCAATAATTCAGGAACATGGAGAAGATAAGTACATATAGACCACGCAACGCCGTCTTTGCTGACAATTACCATTGCACAGTATATAATATACTAGACATCGTCGTTCCATCATTCATGTCAATTTCAGTAATCATCGAATCCACGGCGAGCAATGCAATGCCTTGGGCTGGCCGCCCAAACTCTGTTGTCACTCTACAGTATTCTTGACACAGCCAGCGTTACTCTATCTTGACAGGCAGCCATTTTCAGCAGCCATCCGAAACTGTCAACATGCATGCCATTTCTGACAAAGGGGTAGCTACCACTGACGGAGACACACAGCAAAAGAGCGATGCTCACCCATCGATCTATCCTTTTGGAACCAGCTTATTAGTCGTCTACCAATGATCAAAGTGTGTCGTAAGCCTTGGAAATTTGTGCTAACTAGTAGTAGTTACAGCAAGCTTCTCTTGGGCCTTATTTACAGTTGCAGCTGATTAGTCGTTAGGAGTAGCTTTCATGTCCATTTTTGCAGACTATATGTGTGCTGCCTGAGCTTATTAGCTAGGTGCTTGTCTGCTTTCAGGTCTTGAATTCTTGGCAGCCTGCCTGGTGTGTGGTGCTGGTGCACCTGCTAGCTGCAAGATTTTCTTGTTGTGTCATCTGCATATAGGTGGCATGCACATTGCAAGATGATAGGAATTGGATGGACCTCGCCATCTGCCATGGTGCCGTGCCTCCCCATCCCAAATTAAATCAATTTCTACACTTGTCCTAAGTCAAATTATTTTAAGCTTTGACTAAATTTATAGAAAAAACGCTAATATTTAGACAGAAAATTAATACCATCCAATATACCAATAAAATATATTTTCATAATATATTGTTTAATTTGGTGTCATAGATGTGTTATATCTTTCTTATAAAGTTACTCAAATTTAAAGATAGTTTAATTTAACTTAAGGTGATCCTAGGAATTAATTTATTTTGAGACGGATGGAGTCCTAGTTACTACTACCTCTGCTCCAAAAATATGTTTTTCCCTAGTTAAAACTTCAAATTTAATGAAATTTTAGTTTCAACAAACTGAGGTATATACTCTTGTATGATCTAGTTACATACTTACACGCATATATTTCTCGATGTAATTGAACCGTATAGAGCTAATAGAGCTGACGGTTCAATCGGTTGGACACACAACAAACCGTAGAGCAAGACCTCTGACATAGCAAAGTAACATGCCCTCTAGTAACCAAAACTAACCAAGATAGGGTTCTAGATAAATTGTGTTAGGGGACACAAGAAGATCAAAACACCGTGAGAACATGTAAATGTACAAACATGGTAACGTGTAGCCTTCACCAAAATGACTATATATATAAACGCATCTGTTGACTTTCATTAGCTAGTGGCTAGTGCCGACGTGCCAAATCAAACTTTTGCTTTTTGACGTGTACTGCGAGATGGTGTCATCCCTGCTTTCCCTGCACCACGTATGGAGGATGATTATTACTTAATCGTTTGCGCAGGATTCGTGTCGTTCCTACTAGCTCCTGCAGAGATATATATTTGTGCTGACTGCTGAGGCATGCTTAATTCCTGCGCGTAATACGTGTAGTATGTGTGTATAGAAGACTATGAGTATGTAGTAGTATAAAAATGCATGGCGGCAAAGCAAGATTTGTCGTCTTGTCGGGTAACAAGCTAGCTAGCTATTAATAAGTGATCGACCTGTAGGTGACGACTTCGACAATATATATAAAATGATCCATATATCAACAAGCAGATCCAAATCCAACTACGCACTCGATCTACTGCACGTCACATAGTCTGTCTGAGTATTTATATGCATGTGCCATGTGGTGTGTGTGCAGACGTGCAATGCATACTTTAACTTGTGCGTATCTATCTGCTACACGTAGTATATATATTTGGATGCGTCAGCAATGGAAGCAGCTGATATTTTTGGCTCCAGGACAGGGGGCATCATATATATATATATATATATATTATATTCTAGATCATGTGACAGATCAGCGCACTTAGTAGGTAAGCAAACAGCAACGTCAGATTCTAAACCAGTTGCATCGTCCATCGTATATGCACACGCTGATCGACTGAACAATATTCTTTAATATGGACGGTTTCCCACCTTTGGATTTCTATTTTTATTGCATCTCATATGAAAGCTACTCCTACATAATTTTCATTTTTAAACTCTTCTTGATACTTATCCACATGAGTTAGTGTGTGACAACTTTTTTTCCTCGAGAAACCGTATAATAACCACATATACTCACACACACGCGGCCTATAAACACATCGTACTGCATATATATTTAACTTAATATTCTTCGTCTAGAGACAGAACAACGTAACTTTTGGTCAAATATTTTTTACAACAACTCATTCAGTAACTCAGGACCTGTTTGTTAGTTGCCGTAGTTTGTCATCCCTAACCTTCAACAAATTATGTGTCACAAAAAAGTGCGGCAAGCAAAATTCAAGACCACGCACTTGGTTTGGTACGAAAATAAGTCGATCTCTATAACATGTGTGACAGAGTGCTAAGAAAGTGTGATACGACATAGTTATAGCAGTGAACCAAATAACTGTTGAAAATACTGTGACATGATTAATCTTTGGTGTGGCAAGTGTGTCCTTAGTTTTGAAGTATTAAAAACTGGTACATACGGGTCCGAACATCGCCAGCATCATTTGTTTCAGGCGTCACAAGGACACCAACAGCCCAGTGTGGCGGATACTACATATACCACAACTCACTTCCGGTTCAGTCTGCACATCTCAACCTCACCCTCAACGGGATTGTTGGACCGAGTCCACACTACTTATTATCAGGGCAAAAAGTTTTTAATGTGCGTGCGGCAAATGGCATCTTCTGTATAAAATGAGTACAGCAGCTAAGCTGGGCATATGCTTATTCTTTGTTCTTGTCCTCGACGGGTTCTCCTTGCTGGCTGGGCTCTCCTTGCGGGACCAGATCCTCAGGAGACAAGTTCAAACTCTCTGCGAGGTGAAAAAAAGGAATCATATGTGGTACATAGGAAATATAAATGACAAGATTACTGACTAGCCAGTAGAAGAAAGGAGTACCATCACTGTCCGCAGATGCATAAGAAGTTCGACGGGCACGGGCATTCTGTTGAGTAGGCTGAGAGCAGAATTGATGGGGAAACATTCAAGTCAATAAATTATAATTAACTTGGCATGATATAGCAATGCAATTAGGACGCATAATTACTATATATGGGACTTGCTACGGGGTTATGATGTGGTCTCAAGCTTATATAAGTATAAGGTATCAAATAATAGACTAAACGTATCAATATACTGCCTCACATATCAACTTTGATGAAGTCAATATGCTACAAGACAATTATATGGATCTGGAACTATCTTACAAATAAAAAAGCCTGGGATTTTCAATTTTTTTCAACCATGTGTCCCGCCTTGAACTGAATAGACTATCATGCATCTTATGTGGGTAGAAGTTGCTACCTGAAGCTTTGGTCGAAGTGCTTCAAGAGGACCTTTAGGCTTGTTGGGAACACCACCTTGCTGAAAGAGAAAGACACGAGAACATATATCACATTTCTCTGAATAATTAATATCAAGTTCAATTAAACATTTAGGGTAAAAATATATTACCTTTCCTAGAGCCCAATCAGCAGAATCAAAGTAAGCTCGTTCATGGTCCTGATAAGATGTTTCAATTTAAGATCATATTAGTATAGTGAAAAAAAATGTAAATATGCTCTACACCTATTTATATATGAGAAAACATAACACAGTTTAAGTAGCCAGAGAAAAGCAGTGACATCATAAGGCAATGTTATTGACCTTAGATATAAGTGGAGTCTTTCTGGGCAATATTCCTCCATACTTTTTCTTAATTACCGCCTCCTGCAAAAACACATAAGTAGCAGTGAGCCAGTTAGAAGGCAAACAATACAAGTACATGAAACAAAGGCTATGTGAATACTACAAATACACACAACAGACAAGAGGGAAATGGTGATGCCAAAAGACAGTACTTCCTCTTGTCGTGAGGGCATCCCACCCACTTCATTCTGGTCTTGAACTTCTTCCACCTTTTTATCTGAAACATCTCCTTCAACACTCACTTGGGCAGGTGCATCATCAGATGCCATCCCAGACATAGGAAACTTGAGCTGCAAGAGAAGAGTTCAACTTCATGATTAATTCATATTCATGAATCAAGATGGTGATCGGCATAATTTATGATGTACAACAGGTAACAGATGCACGTATGTGAGACAAATAATTCCAGATTACCACGTGCTCATATTTTCTTTTTAAAAAAATAATACGTTTAGTTTCCTTTATGGCATAGCAGGAGAGCATCACCATAAACTAAACAAGGGGTCTAATGACAACTCTGTACACCAACATTGATTTTCCATCAAAAACTTGGTTATGAGAATGCATTCAAAATTTCAATAAACTGCCTTCAACAGAAGATTAATAGAAGAGCAATGTCTGAGCAAGTGAATGGCACCACAGAAATGAGGACTGCAAACATACTTGCTATCAACAACAATCTCAGCCCTAAATGTCCCCAGTCAGATATGTTTCATAAGGTTAAGTCATGTTGTTAACAGAAAGTTACGAGCAGGTCATTAGACAAGACAACAAACACTAGTTTTAACCAATACCAAATAAACTGGAGATTATCTACTGTTCCTATCTACAAGACAGTCCAGAAAATATGTTTGATGTATCCTTTTCTTTGTTAGTCACCATAAAACTTTGTTGTTCTGCATAATTTCCAGTAGCCAAATGAACCAAGCAAATTATGTTCAGAAACACACTTAGCCAAAGCTGGTTTGAGAAAAAAGCATTCACTGAGACCACCTTTCAGAATAATTTTAGGAGTGACACATTTATTGTTTGGAACTTATCAACTAACATTACTTTCTTACCAAAACTGGCATCAGATTTTGTGGTAGAAAGAGACGGAAAAGTATATGTGCTAGGGATTTGCTGGCAACTCCTCTATAACAAGACTTCAGCAGCTGGCAGACCAATTTATGTATCAAAATATGCAGGCTCATGTTACCAGATTGTTTGGTTTGAAATATTAAATGCAGAAACTAAGTCAAAAGCATTTGACAGTGCAAATGCAAAAATAAAATTCTCAACAGATCAAGTGCTAAGGAAATGGTTAGGTCATCCATTTCTTTAAAGCATTCATGCTTTACTACATTGTCATTACAAAGGCCGAAAGGGAATGCAATCTTTTTCCTGTGTCCTTTAACTTAACAATATCTTGTCATAGTTCAGCACATGAGATTATCAGTGAGGAAACATCTTTCTTTTTTCTCAAATTCAGCAAACACGTCTCCTATCGCAGGATTGAATTCGCTGTCTATGAGCATCGATACAAATACGCGTCTCATCATTAGCGCCAATACATGCATATGGCATTTTCTCCCAAAACATAGTACATGGACACATTTTACTAATTTTCTGGAAAAAAGTAATAACGCGCATCAATTGTAACATCAGGAACAATATATTAGCTTGCGATTATGCTGTTTCGCTGTATCCTAAGGCCTAAGCTGTCATTCCTATGAGCCAAGGGCCAAGCAGCATTTCAGCTGCTCTACAGTGCCACTTTTCCGGCCAGCACTTGCACTATCAGCACCGCAATACTTGCCCTCTGCACTTTGAATAGGTGACAAGTGATAGGTCTTGGATGGCAAAACAAACTTCCATAACAGGGCCTGTTTGGGGGAGCTGGTGCTTTTGCAAAAGCTACTGGTCCAAAAAGCTCACTTGGTGGTCCGAGAAGCTATTGATCTGAGAAGCTAGCCTGTTTGCTACCCATTTTTTCTGATACCCAGCTAGCTAGTGGCTTGTATACTGAACCTGAAGGGTGGAATGCATGAAATACCCTCTGTGGGTAATGAATGGCTGATCGATCGTGACCATGGCCCGAGTTTGGTTAATGGTGATTATTTTGTTTGACAGCTTCAAATTTCATAATGAAATGTAGGATTAAGACATTGCAATTACTCCATCTAATTAGGAATGTTTCGCTGCGTTTACCAAGCAATTACACAAAAGGACATCCTCGACATGACATGTGTTTATCATGCAATATACAAAAGACCTACTTGAAGCTAACATGTGTGTTCATCAGTCACATACAGAATAATAGTTAGTTCATTATCAAGGGGTTCAGACCCTGAAACATTCCATCCTTAAAGCACTATCACTATCGACAAAGAGCACGACACATGTGCGCTGTCCTTGAACAAATTCCATCAATAATAAGCAAACAGCTAGCATGCCATTTCCACTGCCCTTGAACATATTTGACTATAAACAAAGAACACATGGAATTTGCTATTCATCAACTCAACATGTCCACAACACCAAATTAATTCCAAATCTCGCGCATCTTCATTCACGTGCCAGCATCTCACAGGTGTATAAATCGAAACAAGGCAATTTTTCCTTTCCCGATCTGGAATTCGTCTACAGCCGGAGAAGTGGCGGGAGGCAGCACCGATCTTACCGTGCGGAGGACGGGACGCGGCGGAGGAGCGACGGGGAGCCGAAGGCGCGGGAGCGCGGTGGATTCGGGGCTGTGCTGGTCTCCTGCTGCAGAATGGGGAGGAGACGGATGGGGAAGCCTGGAACGGGCGCGGGCGCGGGAGGAGCGGGCGGCGTCGATCCGGAGCTCGGCGAGGAAGGGAGGGTGCCGGAGCAGCTGGGCGGCGCGGCGTGGGCGCGTGGCCGTCGACCGGGCGGCGCACCCGTGCGAAGGCAGGCGAGAGACGGACGGGGACGGGTAGGGAGGAAGAGGAACGGGGAACGCGGGGCAGCCGGCAAGGATATCCGAGGGAGGATTGCGTGCGGGGCGCGGGGGTATTTGAGTAATGGCAGAAGCGGGTAATTTCGTTGGCTCGCAAGGCCATATCTATACTCTCAATCTGATTTAGTACTAATTTATTTAAATTTGATCTAATGACGAGATTAGTATTATTGTTGGAGAAAATTAGTATTATTGTTTGCCATATCTATACTCTCAATCTGATTTAGCAGTTAAATTTGTTTTTTTAGCAGAAAATTAGTATTATTGTTGGACTTGCTCATTTTTTTAGGGAGCACTGACTTTATTTATTCAGTAGGATAAGAATTACAAACTCCATTCGGAGTCTCCAAAAATCAAACATGTCTACCTATTGACAAATTTACAGAGCTTCTATCTAATATATGGGCGTCGACATTTGACTTCCGTCCTTCAAAGACGAAATCCGCTCCAGTGAAACTCCTCCTTCAAACATTTATCTCCCGGACAATTGGTCCATACCTGCCGAACCTCTCGCCCAGGAAACTCCTCGCCGCATTGGCACAATTGCTCGCAACTCTGAAATAGTGCAAATTAATCATGTTATTTTTTTTATCAAAGCAGAGAATGACCACACTTGACACTAGCTATATTCAATATTCATCAAAACATGTTGAGCGTACCAGTCAGGAATAGAAAGGTCAGGTCGTCTATGCAGCAGGCTGGTGAAAACGAAAAATCCCATCCTGTGACAGTCACAAAGGCGAAGCACATGCCGTCCATGAGCTTTCTCTCTTGAATACTAGTGCAGCATAATATTCTCATGCTTATGCTTACAAAGTGTCCACATAGAAGACTACATTGAGCATCATCACCTGCAAGAAGATGTGTAGGCATTATATTGCTGCCAATTGACGCAGAGAGAGATGGATTAGTTATATCAATAGTACTCACAAAAAAAATGATAGCAATAGCATGAGGAAGGAAATCAGCGAGCTAAGACAAAAAGGGTAGAAACATGTGTGTATTGCTAGCATCTGTCGTTGTACTAATATTAAATGTGATTTGCCACATGCCAAGTGCCAGCAAGGGTACGGGGACAAAGGATTACAACACTCATACATACATAAAATCGTAGTTACAGATACATACCAGCTGTCATTTTGACCTTCAAGTGCTGCAGCTCACATCCTCCATCGCCGTTCTGCTCAACTTGAATTGCTAGGCCACTTGATGTTGCTTGCAGGACAACCTGGGCGCATGTAAACAGCGTTCCTCAATGTGGAGTTGTGGACTCTGCAGCTCTTCTGTTGGTTTACCATCCGCACACAAACTGATTATGCTCAGGAATGCCAACCATTAGCACGACAATAATTGCGTGAATTAGTAAGTGCACGCGCATGTTTGACTTTCTTGAACAAATTATATGCGGTCTCAACTTTGTCCATCTCCAACAGCTTGTTGTTCAGTTTGCTGTAAACAACTCTCCCAAGACAGAAGCCATTCCTAAGTGATTCCTCCACCACAGACACAGCAGCATCAACCTTACCCACATTGCAGAGCCCATTTACAATAAACTCGTAAATCTCCTTATCAGGTTGATGTCCACACTCCTGCATCTCTTCCCAAATGTCCAAAACAATTCCACTCTTCCCAAATTTAGCGAGCCTTTCTAGCAAAAGCTTATAAGCTTTCAAGGATATTACACAACCAGCTTTCCTACTCTTTTTGTAAATCATCAAAGCAGCGTGAGGCGGTCCAAATGTACACAATGGATTGATAAATGATGTTATCATCCCGGTATTTAGCACAACTCCTTGGGCCAACATGTCATCAAACATGTGGAGTGCATCAGCTACCCTGCGGCCTCTCAAAAAGGCTTTAATCATCTTGGAGTATGTGTTGATGTTTGGGGGACAATTCTTTTCCAACATATCCTTGTAATACTTGATGCAACTGTCCAAATCCCCAACGGAAATAAAATTGAAAATAAGTGCATTGTAGGCCATCGTAGTTGGACCATATCTCCCATGTACCATATTCTTAAACTCTCTGAGTGCGTCCTCAGTCTGCCCGGCTCTACCCAATCCCTCAATTAGATGGCAATGTGAAACCTCATTTGGAACCAGCCCATCCTCCTGCATCTTTGTCCAAACCTCCTGCAATTTATCAACACTCCCAAACCTCGCCCAGCCACCCATGACATCATTGTACACATCGCTATCAAGACCAAGCAACTCCTTACGAGCAGCCTGCAAGAGCGAGCTAGCAAGACCAACATGTGACCTCCGGCAAAGACACCTGATGAGGACAGTAAATGCCTCCTTTCTGTGGCAGGCTTTCCCAATCCCAAATCCAAATTGGTCGGTACTGAGCACCTCAACAGCCCTACTGACATGCCTGGCGGCAACTAGGCTATCAATGATGACCTCCAGCGTGGTCAGGTCTGGAAAGATGTTGTTTCTGCGCATGATCTGAAGGGCGTCATCCAGAAAATGAAAGAATTTCTTCCTCCCCAATGCCCTGATGACAATGTTGCAGGTGTGGACGGATGGGGGAGGCTTGGAGTTAGTGACCACCCAATCGAAGAAAGTGATGGTGGCGGCACCATTGAGGTCGCCGGCGTTGACAACATTGGCAAGAACATCTGGTGAGAGCGCCATGGTAGCGCCAATGCCTGTGGAGGATAGCGCCTGGTGGAGCGCAGTGCGGCCAGGGGGCTTGCGGAGGAAGACCCCACGGAGGCGATCTGCGGCAGATAGGAGTATGGAGGTAAGCGGTGTATGGGGGTCAGGAGGAGAGTCGGTAGAATGAAGAATAGTAGGGAGTGGAGGTGGATTGGCAATGGTAGGGGAGGGGAGGAAGCGGAGGGAGGAGATGACCATGTCCTCAGCTGAGGCTGAGGTAGAGTAGCTGCGGCAACTTTGGAGGAAGAGGAGGCGCCGGGCCGCCATCCGTTTGCCTCCTTGGCAACCCCTTCCTGCTCACGGAGACAATCCTGGTTGGAGCTAGGAAAGAAACCACCATGGGCAGTAGTGGCCGTGGCTGTGAATGGCAGAGGCTTGGGAGAGACGATGCGGAGATGGAATGGCAGAGGGCTTAGGAGAGACGATGCGAAGATGGAATGGCAAGAGAGGCAGAGCTTGTGAACCGTGGGTCAAACACCAACGCAGGCGGCAGTACCCATGCACATCCTTGAGGCCATCCCACCTGACATGCAGCAACAGATGTTTGGAATTAGTCAAAACATAAAGGTTTAGAGCTTGCAGAAAGGTTTCTCATGCTAACCAAAGATGAGAATTCATTTTGATCTAATCAACTGCAACTGATGATTCTCCATTCTCCATTCTCACATGAATGAGTAATTTCAGCAGATTATTCAATAAGCACAGAAGCTGCTAAACAGATACAATATTATAGACCTTGCTCCGCAAGAGAATCTTCATACCCTAAAAACTGACATCCAATTTTACCAAAGCAGCATCCAATGGGAAATGATTGGTGAAGGCAAGTTCTTCACAGGAAATGTGGTTTTGTTAAATTCACGCTGAAGGCCGAGAAAGCAAGAAGCACTCACTCACGACTGCAAACTACTGAAAGCGGCACTCACTTGAACATGATTAGATCAACTCTCCACATAACACATAACTCCATTCCCCTGCTTCCCATGTTCTCACTCTGAACAGAAATTAGAGCTGCTACTTAACACATATGTTTCTCATTTGTTCCAGAAACAAATATATGTTTTTAAATTACAAAGGACTTGAATCTTCAAAAACTTTTAGCTAGCTAGCTAGATCCTTTAATCCTACCAACCCGTGATGAGTGACCTTCCTTTTCCGGAATCATAGAAATTGCACTGTAAGCTCAGTGAGAAAAACTGACAATGAAAATTTCTTTAAAGAAACAAAGCTAGCTTCTTAAGAACAGTTTTGCAAGACTGGCATGATTTACCAGCATGGGCTCAAGATACTACTGCATTTTTTGCACCTGCAAGCCTGCAACTTTGATGAGCACAATGCAGTGCACCAACCTTTGAACAGATAGATCTGTTCCACCTTATGTTTCAGCTACTTGTACTAGCGCAAGATATAAGCTATCACTATTTCACTATCCAAGACAAATTTCAGTAGCCAAATACGAATTTTTTGTTTTGAAAGAGATGCTTGACTGAAACAATTGAGAATTTGAGATCACAACTGCCACATCTAATCGAACCTCGCTATCTGCATGTCTCGTCCAAATGAATCGCTCACTCGGGAAGGGGAGGAAAAGAAACAGAGGATGTGGATGTGTACCTCTTGGCGAGCCGTGGGGAGGGGAAGAGGGGGTCCTTCTTCTCCAAGTCGAAGGGCCTGGAGCAGAGTGCAGCTTCATGGACACCGGAGGGAATGCTGGAGCGCCAGGGGCAACAGAATGGGGATCCTCGTCACTGCTAGTCCTATGTTTAACGCATCCACGGCTCTCCTTCGCTTTATTCATTGCAGGCGGCGGCTCCATGGAGATCTCACTGCTCCGCTCCTCATCGGCGGTGGAGGGGATGCAATGGCGGATCAAGGATTTAAATCCAGGGCATGTCTAACCAAAAATCTAATATGCAGCACAATATAATCAAAAACAAAATCCAATAGACAGTTCGATACAAGTATAGAATTCTTTAAACGATTTTAGTATACAAGTAAAAAATAACCCAAAACAAATCTAAAAGGTCTCATAATTCGTTAAATTCAACAGATAAGTTAGCAACGTGCAAAACATGACAATATAAATTGTTCGGATATAAGAAAAGGTCTTAAGTAATAAGTCTAGGGCTTTTGCTTTACGTGCATCATTTTTAGCCAATGAGATATGCTATCTTCAACAATCTCAACATTTCTTGTCACTCTCGAGACCCAAACCGTAAAGGGGGAAAATTGACCAACTGCTTTTCAATAACTTTTTACTCTCTTCCTATCATCGCACTGATGATACAAATTTGGTGAGTTTTATTCGCTGGATAATCACTGTCACCACACGCATCAAGAAAAACCATGAAACTTAGTTGCATCCTGCGTCTCTACTAAAATCACAGAATATTTAGTTGAAGGAGACGGGTCTAACAAATGCTCCTACTTTTTCTTCCCTGAGCACACTAGCGCAAGTTCCTATAGGATACCAGAAACTCTTCTACGTGGCATTCATATGCTGCATCACAAATCCATATATTTCATGATAGCCAATGACTCACCAGAGATGCAGAGCAGCAGTCGGCACTTAGCAGAGGCAAAAGCAGGAGGAGCAGATGCAGGGCACCACTAGAGCAGCGGCGGCGGCCGGTGGCACTGGTCACTTGGGGAGGGGCAGGGGAGCTCGAAGCCCGACAACGGTGCCGCTGGGCTGGAGGATGGGGGCGGGCGGTCCAGCGGCCTAGCGGAGTCCAGCCCCGGCGGCACCGCAGCGCGGCGGCGACGGCGCTCAGACGCTCAGCTGGACGGCGTCGGGGTCAGGACAGACGGGGCGGCATCGGCTTCTCATCTGGCAGCGTTACGGCGGATCCGTTGGGCAGCTTATGCGCAGAAGCCGGCGTCCGTTCGTCTGGGTCGCCGTGCCCGTGCGGCCGCCGGCCGCTAAGGGGGTCGGGCGTCGGGAGGTACTACTGGCGAATCGACAAGGGCACAGGCGAGCGATAAGCGAGGCCCAACACTGTCGATTGTGAACCAGGCTGCCATTGGGCCTGGCTTTGACCGGGCCGGAGGAGAAAGTTCGTTTCCTGGGGAGCCCGGTCGCTGTGAGCATCCGTGGCCCATTGTGATCTCGCCGTCTCCCTCAGCTCTCTCTCACTGGCTCACCGCACGAACCCCGTCCCCCGATGGCGAGCAGCGGGGTGAGGAATGGGGTGGGGTACATGATGAGCGCGAAGCTGGACCGGGAGAGCGCCAGCGCCACGCCCAAGGCGGCCGCGGGGAAGCTGCGCCTCGCCTCGGCGGCAGCGGCAGCGTTCGGCGGGCGGCCCGTACCGACGGACCAGCTCGGGGCCGCTCCCCGCGGCGGGCGGCCGCGCGTCGTCGGATGGAGGTGGGTTGGTGTGGCTCGCTCTTCGTCTGGTCTGGCTCCGGTCGTGCGGAGTGGGATCCGGATTTGGGTTTGGGTTTGGTTCTGCGGGGTTTGGGTGGGTTTGTGGATTCGGAGCTGGACTGATCTGCATTTGGTCATTCGGATAACTTGCCCTGCCTCGCTGCTGCTGCAATTGACTATTAGCCTATTAGGATTTATTAGATTTTCTTTTCATAAAAGGACGAAACTAGTAATTGCTAAGCACTAAGATTCTTGCACTATCTAAAGCAGATTAAAGCCATATACCACGAACTACATCACACATCTTCGAAGACTTAGCATCAGCCAGCGCTTTGATTAAAGGTTGCATATAGTTAAGATTGAAGACAGGAAATTAAAAAAAAAAGCTATATATGACGATAGTACAATATAATCAACCAAATCAGAATAATTGACATGTTTAGCTAACCCATAATGACAGTCCATAATTGTTGCACTTAACCTGTTCCACCGTGATGACAGTTCATAACTAAAACCTACATACACGCCTAATCTGATTTATGAGGCGTGTTGGCATCTACACGTGAGAGGTAGTTTGAATTATAAGTGGATAGTTCACGCTTCCTCATTAGCATTGACTTTTGGATTAAATTGGTTGATCCAAATAACTTAAGCGCGTAGGTGCAGCCCTTAATAATCGTGTAATTCAGACACATCACGTGATCCAATCTTGCCTACTGACTAAACTAACGAAGTAAACTGGGCTAGTGGGCTACATTAACTTATTGTTACAACTTGAGCAAGCCCTGACAATATGCAGATGAAAATTGCTCGATCTTGCAGCTTGGTTCCTTATATTGAATCCAAGGCTGGCTTCTGGACCAGCACCAAAGTCAGCAGCATCACCTCCCATCCACAGAAGCACATCAGAGAGGGGAGCTAAGCCATGGAGACCACGGCGCTGAGCTTGGGCAAGTCCGTGCTGGATGGAGCGCTTGGCTATGCCAAATCCGCTGTGGCGGAGGAGGTCGCCTTGCAGCTCGGCGTCCAGCGCGACCATGCTTTCATCAGGGAAGAGCTTGAGATGATGCGTGCTTTCCTGAGGGCTGCACACGACGAGCGGCGAGAAGACCACCAGGTGCTCATGACCTGGGTGAAGCAAGTATGTGATGTGGCCTACGACGCCGAGGATTGCCTCCAAGACTGTTCCATTCATCTCAAGAAGCCATCGTGGTGGCGTCGCCCAAGCACACTGCGGGAGCGCCACCGCATCGCCAAGAAGATGAAGGAGCTGAGAGCCAGGGTCGAGGACGTGAGCCAGAGAAACCTGCGCTACCAACTCATCAATAGTGCCGGCTCTAAGTCTGGAGACGGTGCTGAGGTATCCGGTGCAGCAGCAATGTCAGGCATGGAGGAAGCACTGCGGCAGCAGAACAAGTCCAAAGCGGATCTCATTCGACTGATCAACAAGAAGGATGAGGACCTTAGAGTGATAGGTGTATGGGGAACAAGTGATGTTCTCGGGGAGAAATCCATCATCGAGAGAGCATACAATGGCCTCAAAAGGGACAGGAAGTTCCAGTACCACGCCTGGATCAGTATGGTGCGTCCTCTCAATACAACAGCGATTCTTCTAGATATTGTGATGCAGTTTGCTGTAGATTTTCTCAAGGAAGAAACAAAGAAACATGCGTCAGATCCTGAAGTTCAAGACCTGCACAGGTTGTGGGTGGCCAAGGAAGATGATTTGGCTGAAGAGTTCAGGAAGTTCTTGAATGAGAAGAGTTACCTGGTTGTGGTTAATGACCTATCCACTATGGATGAGTGGGACCAGATCAGAACATGTTTCCCGACTAACAAGAAAGGAAGTCGACTCCTGGTGTGCACGGAGCATGTAAAAGTTGCAAGCTTCTGTGTTGAGCCATCGACTATGCTACCAGAGCACAAGCAATTGTTCCCTGATAAAGACCTCTATGCTTTCTATGACAAGGTAATATTCAGATCCTTAAAATAATCTCGTTTTGATCTAGTTCAGCTTCTCACATAACTAAATATAAATGTAATGAACTTAATTTTTTTTATAATGTAATGAACTTAGTATCTACATGGCTGATTGGTTGATGGCCAAAATTTGCTTGCCAAAATTTGAGCAAGCGAAGATTTTGACAGCCATTTGGTTTGCTACCAAAATTTGCCAACATCTCACAATTGGCATGCCAAATCTATGGCAAATATTTTTGCCCAAGTTTAGCAACTTTTTCTAGTCAAATCTTGGCATGGTAAATTTTGGTAGCTAAGCAAGCATGCCCTACCTACCAACCTTCTTGCACGTCTTGATTGACAAGCTGCTTCATATTAGATCTAGTATGGTTGAAGAAAGAAATTTATATGGAATAGAAAATTATTACATAAACATTTCCAATATTTTTTTTAAAAAATAACCTAAACATTGCCTTGTGAAATAGAAAGCAGCACCTAACTTGTGTGTTTGTACTTTAGGGTTCACAAGATATAATATGTTCAGTGGATCCGGGGCCTAGCTCAACCATAGACACTCTTGATGACAGTAACTCTGGGAATGGAAAGTATCTCACTCACATGGAGACAAATGTAACTGCTTTTAAGGAATCTAAGCTCATCGGGCCGACAGAATGAAAAGTCACAAATTCTCAAGTTGATTTCAAGTGAAATTAGCCAAGATTTTGAGGTTATCTCTGTATGGGGAATGGGTGGTCTTGGCAAAACCACACTGGTTAAAGATGTCTATCAGAGCCAAGAGCTCAACGCTATGTTTGACAAGCGTGCTTGTGTCACAGTAAAGCGGCCTTTCAATCCTACAGAAGTTCTCAATAGTTTGGCTGAGCAACTGAGTGGTGAGAAGCAATGGAACCATGACATTTTAGATGGAAAAAAATACTTGATTGTTCTTGATGATTTATTTACCACCAAAGAATGGGATGACATACAGAGTCATTTCCCTAGAATGGTAACAGAAAGCCGGATCATAGTCACCACAAGGTTAAATAAAATTGCTCAGCATTGTTCATTAAAGACGACGCACATTGTGGAATTTAAGGCCTAGAAGAAAAGGACGCACATGATCTCTTCACAGAGAAGGTATTTTTAGCTTAATTATAATTACTCATATAGAATGGTTGGGAATTGATATTTTGATTGAATCCTCCGGTTCTTTCTTTCTCTAGTCATTTTTTCAGAAAATAGGTTTTCCCCGCTTTATTTGCATAAAGCGCAAAACATCCAAGATTGTTCCAGCATATTCTAGGCGTGGTTGCCACCTAGCACACGTCTTTAAACTCCAAAACTTAACTGTTCAGCAGCAGATTATTGCAAACACTAGACTGGATGGCTAACTCAGATGTTGAACTCCACCTCCAAGGGTTGAGCAGCCGATCGACCCAAACCTGATGTATCCATCACTCCCCTGGTCTCCTAGCATAACCGTGGAGGCTGTAGTGCTGTTCTTTCCACGCGCTTCGCCATTTCCTCCACCTCCACTTGGATCTCTGACTTGAACAACGCGAGCCACCTTCTCAACATTCCAACCACTCTCAGCATCAGCTTCCTTTTGACTTTCTCCCAACTATGTAGCTCCCTGAAAGCACAAGTCATTGCGTAATTTCCAAAGGTACTATAATTAACATAGCAGAGCTAACAGTATTAGTTATAATATGTTTGTTGTTAACTATCCAAAAACGAGACACTGGGTCAAAGTCATCTCATAGTTTGATAACAGCAACTCAGAGATCAAGCTCTGGATTCTCCTTGCCACACAGCAATTAAAGAACAAGTGAGAGATCAATTCTAACACAGAGCAAAAGAGACAAGTTGGATCATCCACATTTCTTCTTTTGGCCAAGTTCTCTCTAGTTAATAGCATGTTATTGGTTAAAAGCCAGATTAACCCCGTTTGGCAGGGCTTCTCCAGCGGCTTCAGGAGCCGTTTGGAGCCGTTTTCTACCAAACGGGGTAAAATGAAACGGCTCTATCAATGAAGCCCCTAAAAACGTGCTCTCACAGAGCTTTGGGGTGGGAAGGAGCCAAAAATAGTGGCTTCTCCCGGCTCCTCCTCTAGGCCCCTAAAAACATGCTCTCACTGGGAAGCCGTTTTGCCAAACGGTTTACCAAAATGGCTTCAGCTCCACTGGTGGAGCTGTTCGTGGAGCTGAAGCTAAAAAAATGGCTTCACTAGTGAAGTGAAGCCCTGCCAAACGGGGCCTAAAATTTGTACTCTTGGTGCAATTTGAAGCTTCCACATGGTATGTACATAAACAGGGGGTCACACCTCTATGATTAATCACTGTACAAAGAGATTGTACAGAATAGCACCCACTAGAACTAAATTTCCAGATTATATGATCTTCATCCGTGTGGACAAAATTAGGCTATCAACTATTTGTGACTCGAACCACTTGTACATCACATTCGCAGAAACATTTCCCCTGAATGAAAACTTCAGGTTTTCTCCATCCCACGCTTCTGAAATAGTGTGATCCCTTGCTGATTATTTTATCACATACAAGGGCCAGAACTGTTTTGCCAAATTAAACTTGAGTTCCCAAAAAAATTATCCTCCCAAAATCTAATCTTTTTCCCATTTCCCACCAACTATTTATGTATACATTGTTATACACTACTTGCTCGAAATGATTTATGTATACATTAAAATAATTAACTAGTAGAAACTAGTTATCTACAAAGAAGAATAACAGAAAAGAGAGCAAAATTAACTAAAGGAATCAACAAGCGACAGTCATGGCACATAATCAAAGTACAAAGCATATATTTCTAGAATCGATGGTAACTTTTGTTATTTATTTATTTGTTTCAACCTTTCCCAAACATTTATGTATGCGGAGTGTCCACCAACACATACCGTCGTTATCGACACTCATTTTATTTTTATACAAAGCATATGACACAACAATTCATTTAATTTTGTAATTTAGACTTCAGACTTTGGACTATTAAGCGTTAGGTGGGATGGTCATTAATGATGTTTCACGCGGAGGACACTCAAGTGATATTGTTTTATTTTCTGTTGGTTCTAGATCGACAGTGATAGAATCATAGTCAATGACTGTAATTCAATCATGTTTGGTTCAATAAATCAGCATGATGCCAGCTATGAACCAGCAGTAATAAACTTTTCTTTGGTTTTTAATTGGTAGTGATCATGGCAGAAACTTCTATATTATAGGGTTACATATGCAAATGTGAAGTCCTTACTAGTTTATGGTGGTTGGTGGGTCTAAAGCAACTAACAGGAATGGTTTTAGTGTAACACATGCACGGCCCTGTAAAACAAGCAAGGCCAATAGCTAAATAGCATAGTTTTTTTTAGAAAGAAAAAACCACAAACCTAGCTTGCAAGGACCTATTATTTTCTACTCCATATGCGTACAAGCAACATTTTCTTTCCTCGAACACGTAGGAGAGCTGTGTATCATTATATTAAGAAGAAAAAAGGGTCAACACAACCACAAATAAACAAAAACACCAACACCCACACACACTGCATGCGGCACTCTAATGTTTTGTGATTACAAGCGCGCCTGTTAGGGAAAAAAATCGACATGCGGGGGGTATGACGGCCCCATGCATTTTTTAAGAAGAAGGATGATCTTCTCACACAGATCGAGAAAACCTCCGAACCCCCGCCCCCATCCTGAGCAATGGAATCTATTGCCTTGTGAGAACTGGGTCGGGCCATTCTGCGCTTTGTCTTATGGGGACGAGCGAGGGGATGTTTTTTACCCCCAGCCTAAAATTCGCTCCCACGAGAGTAGAACTCAGGACCTGAGGGGGTGCCGACGGAATTCCCTAACCACTTGGGCTAGAGTCCTTTGGCAAGTGCGCCTGTTAGTACAAGCAACTAATTATGCAGTTTACTTATGTAATTATGTTCAGGTATTTTGGGAACAGTTTATCAAGTCTCAATAATACAAGCATTTCCCTTTAAGGGCAAAAAAACACATCGTACAGTAATCACTTTAAGGAAAAAAATAGAAATACAAGTATGTATCCCTCAATAATTCTTTTATATGTGATGAAATCTGAATCAATTTCAGGTATTTGGGAAGATTACAAATTAAAATGAGGAATGCCCTGAGTTGTATGAGGTGGCTGAATTGATTATGAAGAAGTGCAAAGGACTTCCCCTTGCAATAGTGACCATAGGTGGCTTCTTGGCAAAGCAATCAAAAACTCCCATGGAGTGGAAAAAATTGAATTCACATATCGGTGCTGAGTTGGAGATGAATGAAGGGCTTAGAAATATTAAAAGTGTCCTCAGTAAGAGCTACGATGGTTTACCTTACCATCTGAAACCTTGTTTCTTATATCTGTCTATCTTTCCTGAAGACCAAGATATTAAACGAAACCGCTTGGTGCACCGGTGGATTGCTGAGGGTTACTCAACAGAGGTGCTTGGTAAGTCTGCTGCAGAAATAGCTGAGAGCCACTTCATGGAACTCATTGACAGGAGCATGATACTACCAAATAAAACGACATATTTCAGCCAAAAAGTAATCAACTCTTGCCAAGTCCATGATCTCATGCGTGAAATAAGCATCTCAAAGGCAGCAGAGGAAAATCTTGTATTCAGGCTGGAAGAAGGTTGCAGCTCAAACACAAATGGGACAGCACGCCACCTTACTATAAGTGCTAATTGGAAAGGAGATGAGGCTGATTTCGAGAGCATGGTGGACGTGTCTCGTATACGATCGTTAACGGTGTTTGGAAAATGGAGGCCATTTTTCATTTCTGACAAGATGAGGTTCCTGCGTGTTTTGGACCTGCAAGACACGAGTGGTCTATGCAATCATCACCTTGAGCATATTGGGAAGCTTCTTCACCTCAGATATCTTTCTCTAAGAGGTTGTAGAGGTATCTATCACCTTCCCGACTCTGTTGGTAGCATGAGGCAACTCCAAACACTAGATATTAGATTAACATGGATTGCCATGCTGCAAAGACCATCGTCAAACTTAAGCAGCTGCAGTATCTTCGCGTTGGTGGCTTAAGAACTGATCGTGTTTATTTCCTTGATAGACTCAAGAGTAAGTGTGTGGCATTCTGCTCATGTCAGCCTACATACCATAATGTGTATACGGAGGAGGCCTGGCATGATAGGTGCGCTAAATTCTGGTACGTCGCGATGCCTAGCTTAGCAACGCCTTTTGGTACTCCTGTGCCGAGAGGTGCGGGGAATCTGAAGGCCTTGCGCACACTAGGTCAAGTACTCAAGTGGACATCGGAAGTGGGAACGCCCAAATAAAGGAAATAAAAAGGCTTACTCAGTTGCGCAAGTTGCAGGTCACTGGTATCAACAAGAAAAATTGTGATGAATTCTGTTCCGCTCTTGAGGCTCTCAGCTGCCTGGAATCATTGTCAATGTCTTCGTCAGGGAATCAAGATGATTTAAGTTACCTTTCAGATGCTGTATTCTCGTGTCCCAATAACCTCCGTACCCTCACGCTGTTTAGCTTTCTGGGCAAAATGCCGGCATGGATCATGCACCTCCGGAACCTCGTGAAGGTGAGGCTAATGTGTACCCATCTAACGGATTCTGATGGCACCATGCAACTCCTTGGCAATCTTCCATCCCTAGCCATCCTACATTTATGGAGTTACACATTCGATGTTGAGGGACTCTGTCTCGATTTCCTACCGGAGGCATTCCCTTGTCTAGTGGCGCTAGACCTGTGTAGCGCACACAGAAGAGCAGGCCAAGGTGAGATCAAATCTGTGGAGTTCAAACAAGGAACAGCACCTAAGCTTGAGATGCTCGAGTTCAGCTATCGTCGCGATGTAATAATCAATGATGGGTTGTTTTCTGGGCTAGCATCCCTCCGAAGCCTGAAGAAATTTCAGCTGGGCATCCGCAGTTTCGAAGGCAAGGAAGCGTTTGTGGAACACGTACGAGCCCAGCTTGCCTTGAATCAAAACCGGCCCGTTTTGATATAGGGATGGTAATTTCTGTAGCGCCACTGCAAAAACTCCAAAATCCTAGCCTTGATTTATCACCAGACTTGTAGCCTCTATATATGCAATTTTGTTTGAACAATCTATTCCTCCGTCAATTCTCCATTTCCCTTAGTAATCCTATAGTAGTGAACCGTCCATGTCTGTATCTGAACAATTCTGAATCCCTACGGTTATTGTCATGTCAGTATCCTGAGCACTGAGTGTGTGTGCTGCCTCTGTCCCAACTGCGTTTGGGTGCGCACGAGTTTTCCTTTGTGTGTGTGTGATATAACAAATTAATCAGCGAATTTCAGCCTCTGTTGCCTTCGGCTTGGTAATTGTACCTGTACTACAAAGGCTGAGCCTATCGCTTCTGAAACGGTTATTGCATGTCAGTATTCTGAGTGTGTGGCTTATAATCCACTGGGCTTGAGTATTTTCTCTTACACCAAACAAATTAATCGGCGAATTTCATCTTTCATGGATTATAACGACATACCTGTTGAGCCAAAGGCGAACAGGCTGATATGGGATGGCATTAGTGCATTCTATTGGCACACAATATCTGATACTGTTCTTTATGATGAAATCAGATTGATGCACCTAGCGTGCACAGAAAGTTAGGATTTCTGTGCTTCTTGCCCCTGAGCTTTTCAAGTTTGTTGAATGGGCAACAGTAGTTTCATTTAACAACCACAAAAGCATGCAATTCACTCAGCCTGCTCGGAAATGCTTGCTGCCGCAGCGCTGGCTGCTGCTGCAGTAACCAACACTTGTAGCTTGTAGGTACTGAAGAAAACCACCACCAGCTGCTGCAGCGGCTGGTGTTTTAGATTTAACTAGTAGACATGTTCGTGTGGTACACACGTGTGACGAGTCTATAAAAAAATATCTTCATATTGCAGGAATAACATGAAAATCAAAATGCTTAGTTTGCTTTTTTAACAATACCAGCTATCAAGATAATAACATGACTAGGGGCCTGTTAGGATACATTAGTACTTTATATTTTAGATAAAAAAAAGCATAATTTGGCTTCTTTGCTTTACAAAGTGCTGAAGGGAAGGTGTTGCATAGCTAGCCTTACCTAGCTAAGCCTACATAATGAGGAGAGATCATGAGCGAACCCCTGGACCCTCCAGGTCAGGAAGTGGTAAAGATAAACTCTCTCGCTTGCATTGAGGGCCCACCCTTCTACTACTTTCTATTTTAGATAATGGCTAAATTATGTAATTTGGCATCTTTGCTTATATGGACTCTTGGAGTTGCTCTGATAGCTGCTAATTTTTAGCTAGCTAATCTTGGTACCATCCACACCTGGCAGCATGGGGACTTCCAACCAAATTGCGCCACGGGGAGAGAATTAGGAGCCATCGCACAGTGTTGCCGCATGGTGCTGGTCAGATTAGCAGGTCCACTTGTCAGAATTCGCTCTACGTACGTACCATGCCGCATGCGGATGGTTCTCATGCAATTTTTCCTCTAAAATCGTTAGCAGGGGCTGTTTTGGATCCTACTACTAATATGTGGTTGGACAGTGAATTTAAAGTGTATATAAGCTATTAGCATATATTAATAAATCCAAACATGCTAATGGAACTAAGGGATCGTTTGGATCCTTTTATTTGGTTGAATTGAAATCTACTTAATAAATTAGACTATTTGGCTTGGAATTTGATATTTCACTATTTTCCGAAGTTTAAATATAAATCTATCTCAAATTCATAGAGTGGGAGATAGAAATTGATTCTACAGTAGATCACCATTCCTTGTTCGCTTGAATTTATCAGCTTGGCTTATCAGCCAGCTATGATACAATATTTTTCTCTCACAATAAATCAACGAACAGTACTTTTCAGCATGGCTTTTCAAGCGAAACGAACAGAGCTTTACAACTTATAACGTACTCTTTAACTCGCTCCCCTACGATAGAAATGCAACACATAATTATCTCTCTCGCAATAATATACAAATATAATCCATATACGACCATATTAGCTTAATTAATATATGTCTAAATTATGATTATTAAAATAAATTTAATTTTAAGGATCCAAAGAGGGTCTAATAGTAAACAGCCCTCCTGCTAATAATTAGCGGGCTTATTAGCAGATCTGCTTGATCCACCGGCACTAATTTAGCTGCTAATTTTTAGTGTTGATGATCTTGTACAACCATGTGCTTGCGTCGCGCACAACGCCCCGTAGTTGTGCCACCGGTGACGAAACACTAGCACTAACTTTCTTTTTTAGAACTTCTACCGTCTAACTTAATCATATCTTGACACTTGTACTTGAACGTAGAGGCAAGATAAGAAGAGCGCAACTTTCAATAAAAAAGGGAAAAGAAGAACAGCCCAGGAGGCCAGGACTATGGGCCGGATGCAGAGAGAAATTGCTAATCGGCTCGTGGGCCGTGACAGTGAATCGCGACACGTCCTTTTGCAGTTGCATGCGACAGGTACTGTTGTTTCCGGAGATTATTTGCTAATCTCATTTCGCCGACCAACGTAGCAGATGGACAACCATATCTTTGATTTCTGGGCGTACGCACGCGCATCTTTGTCTACATATATACATGTAGACGTCAATTCATCAGCGTGTGGAAACTGGAACTGATGGCATCCACTCATGGGCTGCCGTTCTTGCTGAATGCTGACAGATGCACCATGTATCATGTCAGTGTCAGTGTCACCCATACGAATGTTTCATGGCAAACGGCTTTGAAGCCCCCTTCTCATTACAAGTACTGTATGTATCTGGTAGGAGTTGCTGTGGATGCATGTCACTTGAGGCAACATCAGATGAGTCCTTCCTTGTCGTCCACACATCTGTCATCTGAATTAATAACGGTTGCGAACAGTTTCCATTCAGACTTCAGAGCCGTTTCGAGCAGCAATTCTGAAAGAAACAGCACATGTACAAAAGCTTACTCAGTTGAGCAAGCTGAATGTCAGTGGTATCAACGAGAAAAATTGTCATGAATTCTGTTCCACTCTTGAGGCTCTCAGCTACCTGGAATCATTGTCAATGTCTCCATCAGGGATGAATATAATGGTAGTTTACATTGCCTTTCGGATGCCGTGTTCTTGCCTCCCAATAACCTCCGTCAGGGATGAATACAAATGGTAGGAAGGAACCCACCGCGCACCGTATAGCAGAGACAAGGGGTGTCTGGGGAGGAGCCGGAGGAACCTGCAGTACTGGCGGAATGAACGCTGGCACGCCTGTGTGCTGAAGCAAGTGCTGGAATAGTGCCATGTTCATCTGCCTATAATGATCAATCTGTAGCTGTAACTGGTCGTGGCGAGCTTGCGTCCCAGCAAACAAGGTCAGCATTCGTGAATGGTGCTCCTCTTGGACTGTGGCCCGATGCCTCAGGTCTGCTCTCATAGCCTCCAACAGGGCGAAGAAGCTGTCGTCACTGGAGGACGGTGCCTGAGGAGAGGAGCTGAACCCGAACCACCAGCCTCTGAGTCGTGTGCACGGGGAGACATCGTCGGTGGCTGGGGAGCAAGGACTGTGCAGTGCTCGTCTGAACTGTTGGTGGACTCAAGGTCAACGTCCTCGTCAAGCAACTGTGCCAGCTCTATCTGCAAAGTGGCCCTGACCGTGACAATTTTGGTCAAGGATAGGAAGGAAACCACTGCGGGCAGCAGTATCCGTGGCTGCGAATGGCAGAGGGCTTGGGAGAGAAGATGCGGAGATGGAACAGCGAGAGATAGGTGGAGCTTGTGAGTGTGAACCGTGTGTCAAACACCACCGCAGGCGGTAGCACCCACAGCCATCCTTGAGGCCATCCCACCTGACCGCAGCAACAGATGTTTGGTATTAGTCAAAAGTCAAGACAAAAAGGTTTTAGAGCTTGCAGAAAGGTTCAGAGGTTCAGAGCTTGTGAACTATGTGTCAAACAAGCACACAACTTCATGATTAATCCAAATCCTTGAATAAAAATGTCAAGAGCACAAATTCACTGTTTGGTTCAACTTTCTCATGCTAACCAGGGATGAGGAGAATTCATTTTGATCTTATTAGAGATATGTATAGTCTAACACATATTACTTACAGATCAAATCAACTGCAGCTGATGATTCTCGGTTATCACATGAGTAATTTCAGTCAGATTATTCAATAAGCACAGAAGCTGCTAAACAGATGCACTATTAAAGACCTTGCTCCCCAAGAGAACCTCCATACCCTATAAACTGAACTCCAATTTTATCAAAGCAGCATCCGATGGGAAATGATTGGTGAACTTTGCTTTGAGAACTCGATAAAAGGCAGGTTCTTCACAGAAAATGTGGTTTTGTTAAATTTATGCTGAAGGTCGAGAAAGCAAGAACTCAGCAGTTCAACACTGATTTTAATCACAATCATCTCACGACCGCAAACTGCTGAAAGCGGCACTCACTTGAACATGATTAGATCAACTCTCGATAAATCACATAACTCCATTCCCCTGCTCCCCATGTTCTCACTCTGAACAGAAACTAGAGCTGCTACCTAACACATATGTTTCTCATTTGTTCCAGAAACAAACATATGTTTTTTTTATTAAAAAAGGACTTGAATCTTCAAAAACTTTTAGCCAGCTAGATATGGATCCTTTAATCCTACCAACCCATGAGGAGTGACCTTCCTTTTCCAGAATCACAGAAATTGCACTGTAAGCTCAGTGAGAAAAGTTGACAACAAACTTTTCTTTAAAGAAACAAAACTAGCTTCTGAAGAACAGTTTTGCAAGCATTGCGTGCTTTACCAATATGGGCTCAAGATACTACTGCAGTTTTTTGCACCTGCAAGTCTGCAACATTGATAAGCACAACACAGTAACTCTGGGAATGGAAAGTATCTCACTCGCATGGAGACAAATGTCACTGCTTTTAAGGAATCTAAGCTTATCGGGCGACAGAATGAAAAGTCACAAATTCTCAAGTTGATTTCAAATGAAGTTAGCCAAGATTTTGAGGTCATCTCTGTATGGGGAATGGGTGGTCTTGGCAAAACCACATTGGTTAAAGATGTCTATCAAAGCCAAGAGCTCAACGCCATGTTTGACAAGCGTGCTTGTGTCACAGTAAAGCGGCCTTTCAATCCTACGGAAGTTCTTAATAGTTTGGCTGAGCAACTGAGTGATCAGAAGCAATGGAACCATGACATTTTAGATGGAAAAAAATACTTGATTGTTCTTGATGATTTATCTACCACCAGAGAATGGAATGATATACAGAGTCATTTCCCTAGAATGGTAACAGAAAGCTGGATCATAGTCACCACAAGGTTAAATGAAATTGCTCGGCATTGTTCATCAAAGACGACACATATCATGGAGCTCAAAATCCTAGAAGAAAAGGACTCACATGACCTCTTCACATAGAAGGTATTTTTAGCTTAATTATAATAGTCATAAAAAATGGTTGGGAATTGCTATTTGTGCATCAGCTGGTTCTTTCTTTTGCTCACCAGTCAGTGTTATTATACACTACTAACTACTTGCTCCAACTGACTACTAGTAGTAGAGCTAGTTACATACAAAGAAGAATAACACAACAGAGAGCAAAATTAACTAAAGGAGTCTACTAGCCGATAACTTTTCCTCATATGGATAATCATGGCACATAATCGAAGTACAAAGCGTATATCTCTAGAATCGATGGTAGCTTGTGTTATTTACTTTTATTTGTTTGAAACTTTTCCCAAACATTTATGTACGTCCAGTGTGTCCACCAACACATACCATCATTATCATTGCCACAAATAGCATAGGACGAGTGCAACAGTTCATTTTGGTGGACTATTAAGCGTTAGGTAGCAAAACGCTGTAAACTCTTATGTAACTCTTCTCTACGAGCCGTTTAATGGGGCCATAATCAATGAACCCAGGTGATTACCCCCACCCCACCCCGCGTTGACCCTAAAAAATAAGCTTTGGGTGGGATGGTTACTAATGAGGCTTCACGCAGGGACACTTAAGTGATGTTTTATTTTTTGGAAAAAGCATCATTTCTAGGTTCGACTATCCCTTTCAGTTTGTGTAATTTAATAAAAAATCAGCATGATGCCAGCTATGAACCAGCAGTAGTCAACTTTTCTCTGGTTTTTAATTAGCCGTGATCATGGCAGAAACTTTTATATTACATAATTTGTTCTACATAGCAAAGAATGTGCATATTATAGGGTGACGCCTGACTTATGGTGGGTCTAAAGCAACATACAGACATTGGTCCTGACAGGAATGGTTTTAGTGTAACATAGGGCCTTGTAAAAGAAACCAGACCAACAGCTAAACAATATAGAATTTTTTTTTAAAAAAAATAAGACCTATTATTTTCATGTCCATATGCGTACAAGCTACTAATTATGCAGTTTACCTATGTTCAGGTATTTTGGGAACAGTTTATCATGTGTCTCAAATAATATAATGCATACATTTATCTTTAAGTTAAAAAAACACATCGTATAGTAATCACTTTAAGGAAAAAAAATATGACATATATATCCCTCAATAATTCTGTTATTGCTGAAATCTGAATCAATTTCAGGTATTTGGGAAGATTACAAATTTAAATGAGGAGTGCCCTGAGTTGTATGAGGTGGCTGAATTGATTATGAAGAAGTGCAAAGGACTTCCCCTTGCAATAGTGACCATAGGTGGCTTCTTGGCTAAGCAACCAAAAACTCCTATGGAGTGGAGAAAACTGAACTCACATATCGGTGCTGAGTTGGAGATGAATGAAGGGCTTAGAAATATTAAAAGTGTCCTCAGTAAGAGCTATGATGGTTTACCTTACCATCTGAAGCCTTGTTTCTTATATCTGTCTATCTTTCCTAAAGACCAAGATATTAAACGAAACCGCTTGGTGCACCGGTGGATTGCTGAGGGTTACTCAACAGAGGTGCTTGGTAAGTCTGCTGCAGAAATAGCTGAGAGCCACTTCATGGAACTCATTGATAGGAGCATGATACTACCAAATAAAACGACATATTTCAGCCAAAAAGTAATCAACTCTTGCCAAGTCCATAATCTCATGCGTGAAATAAGCATCTCAAAGGCAGCAGAGGAAAATCTTGTATTCAGGCTGGAAGAAGGTTGAAGCTCAAACACAAATGGGACAGCACGCCACCTTACTATAAGTGCCAATTGGAAGGGAGATGAGGCTGATTTCGAGAGCATGGTGGACGTGTCTCGTATACGATCGTTAACGGTGTTTGGAAAATGGAGGCCATTTTTCATTTCTGACAAGATGAGGTTCCTGCGTGTTTTGGACCTGCAAGACACGAGTGGTCTATGCAATCATCACCTTGAGCATATTGGGAAGCTTCTATCACCTTCCCGACTCGGTTGGTAGCATGAGGCAACTCCAAACACTAGATATTAGATCAACATGGATTGCCATGCTGCCAAAGACCATCGTCAAACTTAAGCAGCTGCAGTATCTTCGCGTTGGTGGCTTAAGAACTGATCGTGTTTATTTCCTTCGTAGACTGAAGAGTAAGTGTGCGGCATTTTGCTCATGTCAGCCTACATATTATGATAGTGATATGGAGGAGACCTGGTGTGATAGGTGCACTAAATGCTGGTATGTCGCGATGCCTGGCCTAGCGACGCCTTTTGGAACTGGTACTCCTGTGCCGAGATGTGCGGGGAATCTGAAGGCCTTGCGCACACTGGGTCAAGTGGACATCGGAAGTGGGAACGCCCAAATAAAGGAAATAAAAGGCTTACTCAGTTGCGCATGTTGCAGGTCACTGGTATCAACAAGAAAAATTGTCATGAGTTCTGTTCCGCTCTTTGAGGCTCTCAGCTGCCTGGAATCATTGTCAATGTCTTCATCAGGGAATCAAGGTGGTTTACGTTACCTTTCAGATGCTGTATTCTCGTGTCCCAATAACCTCCGTACCCTCATGCTGTTTAGGTATCTGGGCAAAATGCCGGCATGGATCATGCACCTCCGGAACCTCGTGAAGGTGAGGCTAATGTGTACCCATCTAACGGATTCTGATGGCACCATGCAACTCCTTGGCAATCTACCAGGCCTAGCCATCCTAACACTAGACTATTACACAGTCTTTTGGCACGACCCGACGACACGAAATATTTTGGACCATGCCGGCACGACACGAATATGAGAGCCGTGCCATGCCTAGGATCTCGGCACGGCGGGCTACATGGCCCGGCCTGCATTTTGGGCCGTGCTTGGACCGGCACGGCACGAAAATGACAAGTAGACATTTCTACAACTATACATTGCAATTTTCTAGCATTTACTATACTATCTCTCATCTAATTCTTGAATAGATTATGAAAATCATTAAAACTTTAATTAAAATAATACACACAAGATATATATATTTCGTATCATGAGCCGAAAAAGAAAACTAGCAGAGATATTTTGAGGGTCATGCTTGGGCCGGCACAACCCGAAGGCGTACCACGGGCCGTGCTTGGGCCGATGAAAAGATTCACCGTGCCATGTCGGCACGGCCCGACGTGCCTCCCGTGCCCTCTGGGCACGACCTGAAATGGCACGAAGCATGAGAGGGTTGTGCCGTGCCAGCACGGCTGGTCAAGTCCCACCTCTACCTCTTCCTCAATTTCCTACCAGAGGCGGCATTCCCGAGTCTAGTGGCACTGGACCTTAGTGGCTTACGGACACGCGCAGACGGAGGTGAGATCAAATCTGTGGAGTTCAAACAAGGAGCAGCGCCTAAGCTTGAGATGCTCAAGTTTGCATATCATCACCATAAAATAAGCAATTATGGGTTATTTTCTGGGCTAGCATCCCTCCCAAGCCTCAAGAAATTTCAGCTCCCCCCTATTGGGTTCGAAGGCAGGGAAGCGCTCATGGAACATGTGCGAGCCCAGCTTGCCGTGAATCCAAACCGGCCTGTTTTGGTAAATCAATGGTAATTTCTCTGGTGCCACCGCAAAAATACTCCGAAATCCTTGATTTATGACCGTAGGACTTGTACCCTCTATATATGCAATTTTGTTTGAACAATCCATACCTCTGTCAATTCTCCATTTCTCTTGGTACTCCTGCAGTAGTGAAATGTCCATGTGTGTGTGCTGCCTCTGTCCCAACTGCGATTGGGTGAGCACGAGTTTTCCTGTGTGTGTTGTGTGATATACTCCATCCGTTCCAAATTATAAGGGATAAGGGATCGCATTTGTGCGCACACACAATATCTGATATTGTTCTTTATGATGAAAACAGATTAATGCACCTAGCGTGCCCAGCAAGTTAGGATATCTGTGCCTCTTGCCCCTGTGGTTTTCAAGTTTGTTGCGTGCGCAACAGCAGTTTCTTTTAACAACCACAAAAGCATGCAATTCACTATCAACCTGCTCGGAAATGCTTTCTGCTGCAGCGCTGCGGCTGTAGAAACCAGCAGCAGAAGCGAACAGGCCAGCATGTGTGTTAGATTTTTTTAACTAGTAGACATGTTCGTGTGGTACAGGAATAACATGGAAATATAAATTCTTAGTTCGCTTTTTTAACAATACAACCTATCAAGATAGTAATAGCATGATCACCAACACCAAAACATGACTAGGTATTACTTTCGCAGGAGAGCCTGAACCTAAATAAAATTCCTGTCTCTTGTACAACCATCTGCTTGCCTCGCGCACAGCGCCTTGTGTCACCGGTGACGAGACACTGGCACAAATGACTGTTTTTTTAGAATTACTACCGTCTAACTGAATCATATATCTTGACACTTGTACCTGAACATAGACAAAAGATAAGAAAGGCTCAACTTTAAAAAAAAGAAGAAGAAGAAGAAGAAGAAGAAGAACAGCCCAGCACTATGGGCCGGATGCAGAGAGAAATTACTAAGCGGCTCGTGGGCCGTGACAGTGAATCGCGACACGTCCTTTTGCAGTTGCATGCCACAGGTACTGTTGTTTCCGGAGATTATTTGCTAATCTCATTTCGCCGACCAAACGTAGCAGATGGACAACCATACTCCTATCTTGATTGCTGGGCGTGTACGCACACGCGTATCTTTGTCTACATATATACATGTAGCCGTCAATTCATCAGCGTGGAAAACTGGAAATGATGCCATCCACTTATAGGCTGCCGTTCTTGCTGACAGATGCACCATGCATCATGTCAGTGTCACCCATACGAATGTTTCACCGCAAACGGCTGTCAAGCCCCCTTCCCATTAGGAGTTGCTGTGGGTGCATGTCACTTGAGGCAACATCAGATCAGTCCTTCCTTCTCATCCACACATCTGTCATCTGAATTAATAACGGACGCGAACAGTTCTCATTCAGAGCCGTTTTCAGCAGCAAAGAATCTGAAAGAAACAGCCCATGCATGTATGTAAACATTTGGATCGTTAATTGGTTTCGCTGAAAAGTCATGAGCCTTAGAAATCTCTGTGGCTGGTATTATCCACACGAACCTTCTTAATTAAGACTATAAGCCGTGGCAGTTGATGAGCCATTGGTAGTAGTAGTAGTAGTAGTAGTAGTAGTTCTCATGTCCATATTGGAGATTACTGCGTATCTGCAATCTGTCCTGGAACTCTTGCATGCAACCGCCTGATGATCACTTGAAAGAGTTCTTCAGCTTACTGAGAAATTAAACGAGGCCTTGTTCAGGAAATAAATAAAACTAGGAGAATTACACGAAGTTTTGTGACCATGCTTCAGTTGAAGGGAAGTAGCTAGGACTGTTTTGCACGGTGGATAATTAACCATGGCAAATAAAGGTACTTCTGAAGATTGACTTAGGCACTTAGCATTGGACTATCAAAGGCTGCATGTTTCTGATTTCTGAAGATTTGTAGTTGTTTCTTGTGTACCATATCCTCCGGCACATAATAATAATAATGATTTGCATGAAGAACGGGACAGGCGACTGCTGCTGCTTGATGAAGCCTTTCACAACCTGAGAAGGTTAACGTTGCTGTTGATGAAATATCATCAGAGTCCGGCCTCGATCGATCCTGCACAGCCACACGCTGGCGTCAACGGCAGCCGATCATGTCACCGTCGAGCCCCCGCCCTCCATCGATCTATCACGTCGTCGTCGTTTTCCATCCAGTAGTTGGAATGCTGAACCTGTCAGACAGACCACAGACGTAATCGTTGATTCCTGTCACCTGGTTCAGTGTTTGGGGTTTATCTCTTGCTCGATAGTGCTTGCAATTCAAGTGTCGCGCAAGTGCAAGCTTACCTAGCTGCTGGATCACAACACAAACGAGCTAGTAACCAGTGCAACACTCTTGCTCAGTCTCGGCGTGCAATTGCAAGTGTCGCGCGCAGGTCGTCGCCTGGCTAGCTTACCTAGCTGCTGGATACAACACGCGACGAGCTAGTAACCAATGCAAGCCACGTACAGCAGCAAAACTGGTCAATAAACTGAACGGAGAGCTTGGCGGAGAGCTGCAAAACTGAAGTCTAAACTGACTAAGCTCGTGCTGATGACTGACGTTGCTGGTAGCAGTTCATTAGTTCCTGCGTGCGTTGGCAAGCAAAGCCTGTTGTTCTTTCTGAATTAGTCTAGCGCTGGCTAGCAAAGCCTGTTCACACAGCGCAAATCCCCGTATCCCCTCGTTGTTCGCTCTTGCATGATAATAGCACGAATTTGAAAGAACTACTGATGGGTGATGGCGGCCTGGATTTTCTACGCTCCCGCGGTGGCGTGAAAGCGATGACGGCCGCGCGGTTTCCACGAGGACGAAGAAATCAAAAGGTGATTATTAACAAAAGTAGTAAAGAAATAAACGCTCAACAACCCTAGAGGATCATCATCCGTGTGTGATGACTGATGAACTGCCAATGTGTGTGCCGTACGACGAGTGATCATTAACGGATGGAAGGCGTCGTTTTCCGCACGCGATCGATCATATGTACTACTACGGAACGCTAAAGTCTTGCGGTGCCGCTGTTTCAACTGCACGTAGGGGTTTGACGTCGCAAGCACGGAGGTATAGCAAGAATCCCCCACGTTTCCATTTGCTTTGGTCCTGTGGAGGGAGCCGGGTCAAGTATCCTTTTTGGGGAGCGATTTGATTTGTGAACTACTCGTACAAATTAGGTGATTGTTAGGGCCTATCTAGATCGGTTAGGGCT